GCATTAAATCATCCCGTGTCAGTTAGTTGCTGCCACAACTCACCTTCATGTACATGGATTTTTAATGAGCTTTAAAGGTATAATAGGCTTTTACTTTTTATAGATATGCTTTTGTAGTTTGTCACTGGCATAACTGTAGTTTTAAGGAAATTTTAAGAAGTAATGGTTGTTTTTTGTGGGCAGGAGGATTGCTTTTATATGACCTTTTTTTTTACTAAGGCCAGATGTGTGTTGACTGTTTAGATTATATATTTCATTGATTTTTTTTTTCCCCGCCCCCCCCAATGGTGATATCCATTGCAATACTGCATGTGTAGTAAAACCTGATATTCTTAGGACATGTGATTTCTTCTTTACAGATCAGTGCACCTTTCATATCCCTAATTATATTAAGCCAAAAAATACGGTGTTCTATGAATGTAGAAAATGGAAAAAAGATTGTTCAGTCAGCTAATACCAAGCAAATTGCACAGCACATGTTTTACCTGTCTGGTTAGCTGGGAGCATGGTAATACAGTGTAGGCAGTTTCCATAAAACACATGTAAGCATGTGCCTTTTCTGGCATGGATTTAAACATCTCTAGGCAAGGATGAGAAAAGTATCCTCCAAAGGAAGGAACTAATGAATAATTTAATTGTAGTTACTGTTCCCTCCACTCCATAAGATAATTGCTGAGTTGGGTACTTGTCTGTGTGTTTGAGAAGAGTAACTGCCTCCTTCGAGGTGTAGAACCTCTTCTGCTATAGGACCTTGGTGATAAATAGGAAAAGGGACTTACGGCTGGGTTGCAGAATGTGTAGAAATACTTCCCGGGCTGTGCCCTGCGTGTGTGTGTTCACTGCTGTATCTCACAGTTAATGATACGTGTAGTTTGGAATATAGTAGTGTGGTGCCTGTAAGGTCTCTGACCTTGACCGTGTTAATTAAATCACAGATAAGTATGGTTACCAGATGACACGCTTCTCTGCAGGTAAAGAATTAAGAACAAATTTCATAGGGGTATTATAAAGAGAGATTTTTTTGCACTGTTCTTTTGTACCCAGCTTGCAGTTCCAAGCAGTTCTTTGGCTTAATTCGGTGATGTGATTTCTGAGTTAGGACAGTGATGTGAAGCCAAATTCCAGGCATTAGATGTTGTCGCTCAAAGAAATGAGGTGTCATTTTACTGGCTGTGACATTTCTAAAGTAGCTAAATGTGGTAGGTGGCCTTGTTTCCCTTTGTCTAAGTAACTGCTGCATTTGTGTGGACCTTTATCAGCAAACGTTTAAATGTCGTAGAAGCTGGCATTTCCAGTGGCCTTGCCAAGAGACAAATCTCCCTTCCTCTGAGGCAGCACAAATCAAATTAGCTAAGACTGAGTTCTTTCTTTTAATTGTAGGAGTTCTGTCAAATCTGTTTAATATTGAGATACAGCTGACCCACTTGTGCTTGGCAAGTGGTAGTGACCAGAAAAAAACAACAAGTTTCATCTATTGTTTAATTTATCAGCTTTGGTTTTGTTAAGCAGTTAACCAACAGTTCATTTTTGCATCTGAAATGTTTTTCAGTACATTTTATTGTGATTAAAAAAATCCTACCGCAGTCTCCATCATATCTGAGACTTAAAAGTGTCCTTAAGGACTTGTGCATTAAGATCTTTATTAAAAAAAAAAAAGAAAGCAGGATTTTCCTTGCAAATTAGATGTCATGAGTGTTAATATGACATTGTTAATAACTCAATGCCATTAAATGTGTCTGATAAATTTGCACATTAAATGCATGCAAGGCACATGAGGGAGTCGGTCAAGGGATATCGAGTTTGGAAAGATACAGATCAGTCATACATGTTGGACCACCACTGCACGCACAGTCTGAGCTCTTAGGACCTTATGATTGTTTTGCTTTTAACTAGGCTGTTACAGCCGGCCTGCTGTAGGATGCTCTGGCACACTCCATTTTATACAAAACAATAGTGAAACATGGCTGTGGGGGAGGAAAATCGTTGTTACTGTTGGATTCTGGCTTTTTTAACTGGGATTTTTTACATACTGTCATTTCATACTGTCAAACTGGGATTTTTTACATACTGTCATTTCACTAGCATTTGGATTCAGAGGCATAATACTGTGTGCTCATGTCTTCTGCACTGTTACTGTCGAGAAATGGAAAGTGTTTGTGTTTTTTTTCTTAAATGTCTTTCCAAAATCATTGCACACAAGCTTCAAGTGACTTGTTGGCAGAGTATATTCTGGTTGATACTAGAAAATCTAAATGATTTGCTCGTATATATTCCTTTTGGGGGGGAACAACTCCCAGCCGATTGGCATACTTTCTCTTGTGTTAGCACAAAAGATAAGGCCAAAAGCAATGAGAACTAGGGATTGAGTCTCCTCTAATCTTTGTCTTAATATTAGCGTGTGTGAAGTGAGCATTTTTCACTTGAGTAACTGCTACTTACGTATGACAGTAATATGCAGGTAATTACTCTTTCAGAGCTTTCCTTGTGTAAGACTCTCTCTGTTTTCACATGGCAGACTTTTGTCTCGGTAACCCCCTCCCCCCAGGATTTCAGTCTGCATTTACAACTGTGCTTCTGTATCTTCTCAACACCGTTTCAGGCAGAGCATCAGTTTTGAAAAATGTCGTGGCAATTTCTGAACTCATAGGAGAAAGAAGTAATGGAAGTTGAGCATGGATAAAAGCAGCCAATGATATTTGACAGTTCACTATGAGAGTGAAAATAGTATAGCTGTCTACGTTTTTGCAGTCTATTTTTTTTTCCAAGCAAAAGTTTCTAAAAAAGTGGGTTTTAATATGACTGTAACTGAAGGAGATGAGAGGAAGAAATATTTTTGCACAAAATAACCTTTGAATTTACTAACAGCTGGAGGAGGAATGTAGCGATTCTCCCACCCCTGTGTTTTCATTAGGCTTTTTGTTAGCAGGAAATGGAAAAATACACATTAAAAATGTGAAATGATGGAAAGAAAGTGTCTTTCTGAGTACATTCTAGGTTTTCAATTTTTTTATTACTTATTTCAGCTGTTAATACTAGGCTCTTTTTCTCCTGACTTGATTCCAGCTGTTAAAATACTAATTTATACCAGGCATTTCTGGTATTGGTTCCTACTGGCCTGAGCTTGAATTTTGTACTACTGAATTTCTTATTTTTTAAATACCATTTCATGAGCTACTGCTGGCTTCCAAGCGATTACAGGATCACAATATTGTACACAGTCTGTTTTCGCTATTTAGTAGCCTTTTAAATAGTCATTAGCCAAGGGCAAATGACCTGTCTTCCAAGTTTTGGAAACCACTGAAATCATGCTAGTATATGTGTAACTGGATGGAGCATGGAAGAAGATTTTTTTATTAGCCATAATTTGCTTACATGACATAATTTTTTTTTTAATCATTATGTGATTTAAAAACCCTCTAGCAACAGCAATTTAAAAGCAGTTTTATTCTTGAAATATCATGCATAAGGAAAAAAAGATTATATTGCTCTAAGATTATTAGGCATTTTCTGTTTAATTCAGTCGAATATGTTCAAGTACCACTGGGATCTTTTTTCTTTTTTTGAAAGTATATATTAATTTGCACAAGGAGATACAGATTTTTCTATAACACTGTAGAGAATCAAACTGGCACAGCTGGTAAGTTTTTGCTGTGTATATGATAAATAGCAATAAATTGAGGCCAATGTAGTTTTTGTTGTGTGCAGGTCACTTTTTGCTTGAGTATATGGTATATTCCATGCATACAACAGATCTAAATAAATACTTATTTCAGAGAGGCCTAACTTGGATGTCTTCACTACCTACTGTTTTTTTGATGGATTGTACTCGGCTTCTCAAGGCCTTTTCATTTAAATCAAGGTCAATGGTAGTAATCTCTTGGTGCAATGTCAATCTCAATTATAGAGGAGATAAAATCATAATTCAATTTCATTATGTTATATAGATAAATTTCAAACTTAGCCTGACATTTGACCTAAATAGAAATGCATATTTAGAATTAATGTATTTGAAAATATTTGGGTATAAAGTAGTGCAATGCTGTTGAATAGTAGTATGTCTGTAACCAAAAACTGGAAAATTGATGTTATTTGAAATAGTTTTAACAGTGGTCCATAGATATTTTAATTTATGATAATAACTTAATTTCACACTGGAAAAAATATGGAATTCTGTCCATTTTCATGTACCTGCTGTCTATGAAAAGACTCCCTAATAGTTTATTTAAAATCAAGGTGGAAGAGAAATTGAGTATAATTCAGAGCATCTTGAGACTGTTGTTCAAGCGGACTTACTATTTTCAACGTACTGCTCAGTCACTGTGATTATGATCTCTGCAAGACACTAGGTATTGTAAAGGAATGTCAGATCCTCTAATTAGCAGTAGACAAATACTATTTAGAAGTTGCAATACAGAAAGGTGAAAACTAGATCAGAAGTGTAAATCTGGTGGGAGATGAAAACAGTCAAAGCGTCTGGATGCATTTGATTACTTTATAATAATTTTACACATGTAAAAATAAATGTGTTATCCTACAGTCTGTAGACATTAGGTTATCTGTTTTTAGAAACTCAAGGTACATCTTTAAATGTGTGACCCAAGCCAAGGGTTACACTTGGAAAACAAGACCATCTGTATTATCAGTGTGATATTGCAGAGCACTTGCAAGGCACATTGAATCTCACATTGTCACAGATCCATTGTGCAAGCTTAAATGAAAAGGGGAAGAATTGCTTTGCAATTTTGGTTTTGTTTGTTTTTTTTCTTAACTGGTTAGGTATTATATTTGCTGAGTTTGGTAAACACTTTTTGGCATCTTTGTGCCCCATCTCAAGGTTTTTTTGCTTCCTTCTTCCCTGTGGTATATAACTATATGATTACCCCTCCCTTTGGCCAGAGCTTACCCTCTGTTGAGACAGAGATCCACCATACAGTGGATGAATAGCTAAGGCGCAAACTCTAGCACTTCTTTACAAACTTAAGTTATGGTCCTTAGTTATGATGTATATGACCTCCTGTTTTTTCTTTCTGTTAATAGGATCTGTTTTTACGCTGAAAGTTCAAGTAAATGACATCATCAGTCATCAGTACCTGCGACAGGCGGTTGTAGAAGTGTTTGTTAACTACACAAAGACAAATTCTACTCTTACTGGAAACAATGGAGCAGTATTAATAAAAGTTCCCTACAAATTAGGATTAAGCTTAACTATTGTATCATACAAGGATGGCTATATGTTAACACCTTTGCCTTGGAAGACTGGGAGAATGCCAAGTACGTAAGCATCTTACAGTCCTATTATTAAGCTGTATCTGTCGGTAATTAAATTTTTCTCTTCCTCAGCAGTCTGGGTAGTTACTGTCAACTGAAAATGACTGAATGAAGTCAGTCAAGGGAGGTGGTGCAGACGTAACGGTGAATGATCTGTTAGACTTGTCAATATTCTTATTATTGTAAAACAGAAAATAGCCCTTTTTTAACTCTAAGTAGGTTATATTGCGATACTGTGAGTGTATTCTGAGAAATTGTTTACCTAGACTTAGCAAAGGGCTGGTAACGTGTTTTGACAAAAATCGTTGTCTTTAGTGATTCCTGGAGTGCCAGTGCTTTGAGTCCTGTATAACAGGTATAACCTGTTGTTACAGCTTCCTTTCAGCAGTGTTTCCTGTTTAACTATTGTATGCTCGTAAAGTTATGTGATTTTTTTTTTTTTTTTTTAAAAACAGATGGACTCTTAAGAATTCTAGCCACTTGTTTATCCATAGAAGGCATAAGACAGTAGCAAACATACAACAGAGGTCTTCCTGCCTAACTACTAAAATTCCTGCTCTGGACAACAGGAGTAATTTATTTATCCAGTCTACATATACTCTCTTACTGCTCTATTCACTATTCCTTCAGAATCTGAGATCTTACAGGATTTTTTTTTTTTTGGTTGCACAGTGTAACAGATATTATCACTTTCCACAGTATACTCGTCTGTGACACTTGCATTATTCCCACAAAGTCAAGCTAATATATGGCTGTTTGAAGATACTGTCTTAATTACTGGAAAACTGTCTGGTAAGTTCAGTGTATGCAGACCATAATCTAAACACTTTGTGATAACCATCTGTACACATACAAAAAAAAATTAAGCATGTTCATATTCTCAGAGAATACCTATCTACTGAAAGCCAGATTTTCAGTTAATTGTGTAGCTGTATGTGTGGCTGTGACAAGTGCTAGACTAGAAATACACAAACCGTGGAGAAAATGGGTGAAAACGGGTTGTTATGCTAAATAGATTTCTGAGCAGTAATAAAAACACTGTTTGTGTGTTTTACCATTGCTAAGACAAAATATTCCTCTTTTATAGATGCCAAATCTCAACCAAGTGTTCAGTTTCCAAAATTTTTAATAAAAACCTCCCAACAAACCACCATATAACAATTTTTACAGCCTATCTGACAGTGCCAGAGCAATTTTTCAAAGTGGACAGCTTTCTCTATACAACAGGAATTTTTCTAAATAAATCAGGTATGTAAATGTGTTGTTTAAGAATTTTTTTAAAAGAACAAATCTTCAAATTATAATGCATATGAGTGCACAGTGTTTCAGAAAAGCATACACTTAAATTAAAAGGGCCTGAACCTGCTTCGATTGCATTAAACCACAAAGCTTTGTTCTATAGGAGCAAGCTATAAACACATCAGGTGAGTAATTGATGTCACTCTATCTTTTTCCATGTAGTATGAGAACATAACATATCTTACTACACTGAAATACTCCTTCAGAGTCTGCTTTTTATATACACGTGTGTGTGTATACATATGTATATGTTCAGGATTTCATGAGACTGTGGAACTGGTTTAGTAAACACCTTAAAAATACAGTTATGGCCAGAGTGTAAACTAGGTGAACCTAAAGAAATCAGTGAAAGTGCAGCAGTTGACTTCAGCTGTGGGGTTTTCTGCATTTTCGCTAGAATGGTTGGCTCTAGGAGCTTTACACCTAACATAAAGATTGTATGGAAGCTCTAGTTTGGCTCACAGGCAGTTAATCTGCCTAAGCCTGTTTGAAACCAAGTAGTCACTATGTATACAGAGCACAACTGTAGTAATGTTTTCTGTGCATCTGTTTCACTGGAGAAGCAGTAAGTGGTTTCATGAGTCGTCATAACTCTGCTCACATGCAGTTGGATCTTTTAGTATTTGTCATTCTATCAGATTTTTTTTTATTTGCATAAATACAGTAATCTCTGGTAGACTGTACTGTGTGCAGTTCCATCTTTCTTTTGTTCTTTTCTTTCTATTCCCAATGGACCTGAAGCCATGAGGCTCTTAAATTCATTGCAGCACATGAGGAGGTCACTGCATGGCTTATTTGAACTTGTCATGCTCTTTTCTTTAATTTTCATTGAATTAAAATAATCATATATATTGATGACTTACATATTTTAAAATCTTTCTTATATATATTTCACCTCTTTAAATGTAAAGCATAAGAGAATAAGCAGTGTTTCTCCCCTTTGAGTTTCCCTTTCAATCTGTCTGGCATGTGTTTTAAATTATTCATATACTCCTAAAGGAATAGGCTTCCTTTTTAGGGCACGTGGAAGCTAATTGGTATCTGATGCACCAGGAGTTTTCTCACAACCAGCTTCTAACAGCTTGCATAGATTTAACATTATTCTGGTACTTACTAATTCTGTTTCAGCTTCTTTCACCATGCTGTCATATTGTGCATGCTGAAGTATTTGCAAATTAGTGTAAGGAAAACAAAGGAAACAAACTTTCAGGCTGCATTGTAAAGCTTTGTATACGCAATGTTTCCTTTGAGCGCTTTGACAAGCCTCATGATTAACTATTCATTTAATTATAACTACCAAATTAGAAAGTTAATCCTTACAGGAAAGTTTAAGAGGACTGTTCAACTAAGGAGAAATGCAGCAGTCATATATTTGCATATGTCTTCAGTTTGATTCAATGTTACATATATTGCAATTACACAAAAATTCGTGTATTATCTATATTTCACATAGGTTAGCTACTTTGTAATCAAATTATCTGAGGGGAAAAACCCTTCTTCCACCCTCAAGCCAAGTTTTGCCTAATCATTGGTTCTACAGTCAGCATTGAACCTATATGTCAAAAGTCTGTTTCTCTTTTACAGATTTGGTATAGAAATGACTGTATTTTAATCACAAGACTTTAAAAGTCCAGAAGAGATATTGATTTTTATTTGACCAAGTTCGTGACAGCTGACTGTGTAGCTGGATGTGAATGAGGGCTTGCCTTTAGTTATAATGAGGATAGATTCTTAATTCTAAATATTTTTTAAAAAAATACACTATGAATGGAGAATTACAGGCAAGATATTTCTCACATTCAGGTTTCAAAAGTGTGGAATTAGCTCCTGTTGCTGCAATATGCGTAAATGTTCTTTTGACTGGGAAAGAACTGAAAGTAAATGGTCCCATTCAGATTACACTTCCTCTTCCCACAAGTACTGTAAAATCGGGAGATGCTATACCTGCATGGACATTCGATATGAAAACTGGTAAGTGGGCTAAGTTACTTGTTACCCTACCTTTTAGCACATGTATATAGTTTTGGGCACATGACGCTATGTCATGGAACAGTGATGGCACTAATATATGAGGTGGTGGTAAATAGTCTCAAATTTTATTAGGGGTTCTGTATTGGTTTTTGATTGACTAGCTTGAATTGTTCAAAGGAATTTCCCTGCTTTCATTAGTTCAAAAAGCTTTGGTAAAATTCATTAGCATTCCTGTTGAACAAATTTTTAATGTAATGGATTTTTATTTTCATGGGAGGCTAAGGATTCAGGGAACATACATTTTAGGTGATGTTCAATTTTAAGCCTGGTAATTTTGTGAATGCCTTCTTAAAAGAAAACAAACCAGAACTGAAGATTTGGATGCTTTGTTTCCTAGAGTATAGCTCTAAAGATCCTTTGACACTAAAACTGGAATAGATATTACTTCAGTTAACAAAAGCAATTCAGAAAGTGAAATGAAGGGGAAATAAGAGTTATCAAAGGGAACAACATAGTTCTTACAGTATGCATGGGAAGAGGAGGCTAGAGATTAGACATTGTAAACCTTTTGTCCTCCCTTCATGTCTAATTTTAGTCAAGAGTGAGTAATGAGCTACATACACGTATCCCATTTAGATGTCCTGTATTAGGTGTGTGTGCATTAGTGTACTGATTGTCTTACACTGTACCTTATACTTGCCATCACACTTCATCTTGAAATATGCAAGTGAGTGAAGAGGTAAGTGTCTTACTCCGTATTAAGGCAAAAAGCTGTTATTCAACTGTTGGCGGTACAGGAGAGGACACCAACTCTAACAAAGCGTTGTTTACATGTCCAAGAAAGAAACTGATCGTCTTAATGAAGAACAACCAAAGAACATTAATTTGAATTAAGAACATGCTAATAAAAAATTGGCTAGGTTATCTCTTGGGAAAAGAGTGAATAGAATAAGTTTTGGCATAGGAGATTAAGTCTGTCTATACACCTAGAAGACTTCAGAGGGGTAACGTGATGAGAGATAGCGTTCTTCATCAAAGAAAGGGTTTTAGTCTGACATGGTGAAATAGCACAAGGGGGTTTAATTTTTTGCTGCCACAGCCACTTTTGCCAGCTCCTGTGCTCATCTGTACCTATGTTGAGCTGTTTTAACTCACTAAACAGAAAACTAGGTCAACAATGTTATTAAAACAAAAAGTTGACAGAGCTAGAGCAGTTCAGCACAGGGTCAGGTTAGAGTATAAACCAGTGTACCAGAGTATAAACCTACTTAGGCATGTTGGCCTTGGGGGTAAAGCAACAGCAGTAGCGTGGCATGCTGACCCAATAAAAACAATTAAAACGTTTTTTTCCTCTCAGATGGGGTGTACTCTGATAGAGATTCCATAAAGGCAAATTGTTTATGGTGGGTGTTCACTGACTTGTAGTGTTCCCATGGAGCCTTCACTGCTGCTTGCTGAGGAGAGGACAAGGAGGACTGTGGACAAGGAGAGAGACTTTTTGGGCATAACTCTAACTTCCACTTCTTCTACTTCCTCATCTCTTCTCTACAGTGAAAATTTGCAACTGTATTCACTGTTCTGGATGCTTATTCTTAAATATGTTTCTTTTATTTTTACCTTTGATCTGACATGTGCAAAACAACTTTTTTCTAAGGTAACTGAGTAATAGCAGGGCATTCTTTGGTCAAGGTTCTGGTGACTGAGGACAGCTGAATACCTTAGCTCTCCGGCAAGCATTCCAGAGTGTCCATAAGTAGCAGTAGGCCCCCATCTGAGCTGAATGGAGAGCTACCACTGCACTGAATAATGAGGTTCTGGCATCCAAGATGTTGCATGCAGGATGTCCCCAGCAAGGTGTTGATGCACACTTTTAAACTGAAGTCCTTGGGTAATATGTCATATTGGTAGTCAGAGCTTCCATGTCAGTATTGATAGTGGTAAGGGAACAGGTCTGTGTTTGATGTTGTGTAGGCTGATCCATATGCACCAGAAAAAAGATAGAAACTGCTTTTACATGTCTGCTCGTGCAGTGTTCCCTGGGGTTACTTGAAGTGTAATAGTACTGAGACTGTTCCTGGAAAATGAGCTTTTGTAATTATAGTTCAGCTGCTGTAAATGCAGAATTTGTTGATGTATATTGAATGTGGCTTCCTTCTTACTAAATATTTTGCCTCATTAGTACCAAAAGTACTTTGTGGATTTTAACAGAATTACAAAAAAAAAAAAGCTTGCATTGCAGCATTAAATTGAGAATGATATCCTTCTGTTTGAATGGCAGTAAATCATAGAGAATATGTGCTTACTCATAAATCACATTTTAATGTTTTTCTTAATACGTACTGTTTTCTATGGAGTATATTGGGGGGAGATATAATTTACTGAAGAGGACAGCAAAGATTATATAGCTTCTTATCGATTTTTTCAGTCAAGATAGAACTTCCGGAGACCTAGAATTTTTATTGCCTTTTATATGTGGTGTTTTGTGTTGTTTTTTATCTGTCTGTAAGTAGCCCACCTTCTGCACTTGTAAAACAATAGTTTTGCAGTATAGTGACATCTTGCCTTAAAATTGACAGGGCAGAGAATTTGAGGATCTGTTGTTGCCTCCATATGAGAGTTAGGGATGGAAGACTCTTCCGGCTGGTCGTGCTCCTGAGTCTGGACAAGAGGTTTTCCAAGTAACTGAGAAACCACCTCTTTCAGGGCTCTAGGTGGCTGCTGCTGCTATTCCCCTCTGCCAGCCATCACAAGTACCAGGAGAAGGCTGCAAGTTTTACTGCTGAATGATATTTTGTGTGAGAAACTGTGTCTGCGTGCGTGCATGTGTGGCATGTGTCAGTTCTCATCTTTACTTCTGTCTGGTAGATACTTCCTTTTGCTTTGCTGAAAGAAGGGTCCTGGAGGAAAATGGAAATTATAGGGCTTATATGAATTATACTTTTTGCATGCTTTGGTGGTTGTTGTTTTAAAAAAGCTGGTGGTTCTCTCTCCTTCTCAGTATTTGCAGTTTGAAAATGTAAGGTTGTTTATATGAGATTGTTTTCTGTCCTTTAGAATTTCACAGATGGCCCACAATGAATGTGTTCAAGTGCATTAAGTATAGTTCTGTCTCTTCTACTGCATGCTTTATTAATTGTAGAAGCTGGCATACCATAATACCTGTCCTTTGCCAGACAGATGGTGAGGAATCTGTGTCCTAACAATAGACCTTTCTTGGGCTAACTGAACTGTTACTGCCTTGGGGCAGGGAAGAGGAGAGAAACATTCAGGACAAACATTGTTTATCCTATTGTAGCTTATTAGATTAAAATGCTTTCCCGCTAAGTGCTGCTAGCTGATGTTAAACTTGTATTCGTATGCTTAAATTAACTGCTCCTTGATTTTTTTAGTCTTGGCCTTCATACATACTTAAGCTTATATAATAGGATTTTTCGAATGATTTGTGTGCATATCTATGAAAGGCATTTGTTAATAGAAAATGAATTATATTAAATTAATTCCAGTAAGTAATGTTGATGCTTTGTTTCAAAGTAAATGTCCACACAAGGATATTTGCAATGAAATTGTCAAGAGAGAAAGTTTGCATGTTTAGCTAAAGCTGTGTAATAAATAGTGTATAGGTCAGAAGTTTCAGTTTTTCTTGTGACCTTGTGTATTTTTGGTAATAGCTTAATTGCTAATGGTTTGATATAGAGAAGAATCCTGCATGGCATGTGCAATATTTTGCCCTTTTTTTTTTCAGGTGCTTGGGTAAGCCGTGGGCTAGGAATGGTAAAGGAGGCAGATGGTCAATTAGTATGGACATATACTGCTCAACACTTAGGCTACTGGATAGCAGCTCCACTGCCTGGAACAAGAGGTATTGCAACAACTGGCAAAGAAATTACTGAGTAACCCAAGTAACAATGTATCATAAGGCTGTCAGTTTGATTGCTTTATTTAACAACAGAAAGGGAAAAACAACATGCAATTTGAACAGTTGGATAACTTTTGTTTGAATCCTGATAGTGTGCCTTTGTGCATATAACCATTTCCTAGAACTTCAAATGCTATAGGGGGAAAAGTCCAGACTGTATTTGAACTTACATGTTTATACTATCGCCATCTTTTGGAAGAAGCCTGCAAGGGAACTGTGACTATGGAGATCTAAAAATCAGCGGGACTGTATCCCTTACTGTTGAGGATCATGTATGACAGGAGGAAATACAACACGAAAATTAGTCTTGGGTAAAACGGTCCCAGTGGATTCTGTCTTACGTAGACTTGTTGCATGTTTTGCAAGTTCATATGAAGGGATTCTTATGGGAGAAATATGATGTCAAAATTTAAAAACAGCACTTTCTGACAGAAGCACTAAATAGAAAATGTAGACCATGTTTCTAAGTCAGTTTGGACAACTAATACAAATGTAATTTGACTGGAACTGAGTAGATGTCATGGTAAGGCTTTTAGTACTTGAGATGAACCTTTGAAGATCCATTACGTTGTAACCACTGTTTGTATATTTTCTAGTTTGCTGAAATAGCAAGGTGAAAAGGGAAGGATGAACGTAGTGCCATAGGAACACAAAATCACTGGAAAAGTACAGTTTAATTTATTAGTTACAGCTCTGCATATCGAGTGGAATTATTTGTTTTTGAGAACTAATTCTTGTCTGGTTTTGTTCGACAATCTAGAATCCATTATTAGTGCGGTTTCCAAGGACATAACAGCCTATCACACAGTGTTCCTTACGGCCATACTGGGAGGTACAGTTGTCATTATCATTGGATTTTTTGCTGTTCTTCTTTGTTACTGCAGGTAAGCAAAAAGAGAGGCTCTAATAAGCTCAGCATGAATGGAACTTAAGGTTGATAAAGTAGTCTTTTGAAGTTGAGACTTGTTTCCTTAGCTAAACTATAATGTGTAGCCTAATATTTCTTTAAAAATTACAGTTATTACAGAACTTCATTTTAAGTTTGTGACGTCACAGTACACTATAACTTTTAACCAAAATCTAATCTTCAGCTCTGGAGGTGACCAGTCTAGTACTTCCTAATATGCTCTACAGTCACCTTACATCTCTTTTGCATAGGGATAAATGTGGTCGGACGCAAAAGAAGGAAAAAAATACAACTAAGCTGGAGGTCATAAAAAAAGACCAGACAACATCAACAACTCACATAAATCACATCAATGCTGTCAAAGGGTCTTTAAAGTTGGAGGATAAGTCACAGTTATATACACCGAAGATTTCTTCATACAGCCCTCAAAGAAGGATGTCCATAGACACGGAAGATGGAAAATCACGAGACAATTTTAAAATCTACGCAGAGGATGCTTCTGGTCAGTCAAGAAATTCAGCCCATTCATTGGAGCCTAATGTTGGAGTTAGGCACTTACAGCAGCCAAAGCATAGTAACAGTACTATTTCCCAGGCTTCTAGGGACATTCAAGACCAAAACAGATACCTTTCACTGAAAGAGGAGATGTATGGGCTTTCCCATATCCCAGAACATCTAATGCATATTTACAATCAACCTATTGCTATTCTTCAAACCTCTGACCTTTTCCACTCCCCAGAACAATTGCATCCTGCTAAATCAGCAACTTTGCCAAGAAAAGGGCAGTTAGTGTATAGTCCCATGATGGAACCCATGAATCGCGACAGTTACATGCAAACGTTACCAAAAATGCCAGTGCACTCTCATCCACAGCCTTCTGTCTGCAGAGATGAAAACAGTACGTTAGATAGTGAAGAGGGCTTACCTTCTCAAACATCAAACTGGGGCCGGTACACTAATAGCTTACTGGAATCTGTCTCTGTTCCTGGGACATTGAATGAAGCAGTTGTAATGACTCCGTTTTCATCTGAACTTCAAGGTATTTCAGAACAAACATTATTGGAACTCTCTAAAGGAAAACCATCTCCGCACCCTCGAGCATGGTTTGTGTCTCTGGATGGAAAGCCCATCGCTCAAGTGAGGCATTCTTTCATAGATCTGAAAAAGGGCAGAAAAACAGAGAGTAACGATACCAGTCTGGACTCTGGTGTGGACATGAATGAGCATCATCCTAGTAGGAAACTGGAGAGAGAGAAAACTTTCATAAAAAATATGCCGCATTCTAAGATCCTTTACTTGGAAGATCTGGATCTGAGTAGCAGTGAAAGTGGGACCACTGTTTGCACTCCAGAGGACCAGGCTGTGAGGCACATTCTGGATGGAGGGAATGGGCCAGTCATAGAACAGCATGATGAAGAAGGTCTAAGAAGAAAAACTCCATCAAGAAGTCATGAATCTGGTATCCCTTCTGCTAAAAAAAGGGATAGACCGTCTATCGCAAAAAGAGATAGCAAAACTAATATCTGGAAGAAAAGAGAGGAAAGGCCACTTATTCCTATAAATTAAAACACAGTGTGCTTTGTGTTCTTGCTCTCCCTGCTGGTTGTTGACCTCTTGGCTTCTTCTGTAATTCTGCAGTGTTGGGTTTACAAGGGAAATGTTGTTTTCTAGTCTCAAGAAAAGTTACTTTTTTTTTTAATATACCAATTGATTTCCTAAACTTCAACTGGGCAATTGATATTCAATGAATTGAAAACAGGGAAATGCTACTATTAAAATTTTCCAGTTCCTAATTTTGCTGGCAGTAGAGGGAAGGCCCACATTTTAATTAGCCTGTCATTCTTGGATGCACCTCTGGGAATGCATGGTGAGAAATGGAGGCACATGTGTTAATTTTTTTGTACTTGTTGCTAATGCGTTGGTAGACTAGTTAAAGCCATTCCTTGGCCTTGTTCCTAATCAATGTGACCATCTGTACAGTATTTTATATGTGAACTTTTCTAGGGATCTGTTACTACTTCTTTGTATAATGTAAAATGTTTCATCAGTTAGACCCATGACACCAGCAGATGAGCTCTGTTGGATTTATCAGCGGAGCTCTATAACATTACTGCCCTCCCTGTGTGTCCATCCATGTGCAAAAGGTTGCCAGTCCACATAGCAGTGGCAGAAGGGGGAAGCGTACAAGCTCTGTGGCCACTGCGGTTCATGGTCCCCACTGTCTTAGGATGTTGCCCGTCTGCTTTGTTTTAATTTGCTTTGTTACAAACTGTAGACATTGAAGATTGGCATCCGCTATGAAGTGTCCACATCCAGCAGAAAAGGACTGGTTCCGGCAGCATTCGAAGCTGCTGCTACTACTGATCCCAGTGTCTTGTTTTGGCCTCGTTGTCAGTTAAAATCTTCTCTTCTGCATGCTGTTGGGCCAGTTGAGCTCAACAACATAGTCTTGAATCCCTGCAGATTTATAAGTTAGAGTTTGGCCCATAATGAAAAAGTATGCAAGTTTAGACAAATTATGCCTTTGAAATAGTTTCCCTTAGCAGGAAAGTTTGGCACTGTTGCTTTTTATTTTCTGTTTAAAAAAATGGAAGATCATCAGAGGTTTATATGCATTTATATACATTTTGCCAGCCTGAGCTACTTTTGTCTAGGTTCTGCACCACAGAGGGGTTAAACAGGCTTTAGAAGTTGGGGGTTTTTATGAGCATGAGCGCAGATCGCAAAATTTGGTCTATAATGCAGTATAAATACTACTTAGGACTCATCTTTAGAGTTAAATTTACCAAAAGTCATGAATGCATGAAATGTAACTAAGATATGTATAGAGGAAGGAAAAGGCCATCAGAATATTCTTTATTTTTAATGTTCATCTTGTCAAAGTGATTGTTTCAACTTTGGCTAACAGAAAAGTGGATGCATCCCTTAATGTGCTTCATATAGTATATAGAATGTCTTTCTGTGGCTTTGAAGCTGTTTCCCTGATGAAATAAGTTCCAGCATTTTGGCTTTGGCAGTTTGATTATAAATCATCCTAAAAAAGCTTCATAAATATTTCCCTTAGAGCTTGGTTAAGGTTCTATACCAAGACCCAAACATACAATGCCTATATCTGAATTGTGGAGTGAGGTGCACTCGGTTGTCTGCCCTGTAGTACACTCAAGAGTTGGGAAATATCCTATGCAGCTGGGCTTCTGGGAATGTTTACTCAGGAAATGTTACTGTGAAATATGTCTGTTATGTTGGGATTGTCAGTTGTCTGGTCCTGTTTCTAGAAGAATATGCAAGGTAACCAGAATGTTACTAGCAATACACCAGTCCAACTTCTTCTGGCGTGCAGTTGCTTCATGAACAAAATACGATGTTCCTATTGAGTTCACAAGTATGAAAGTGCAAAATAAGTTTGAGATAGGTATGCAAATATGTCTATAATTATAATTGGTCAAAAGAATCTGGTTTAATTATATGATTCATCTACTTCAGAGGTGAAGATGGCATATTAGCATGCCTTTGGTACTCTTTTTAGGTAACTGTAATTCAATTTTCCTATACCGAATACATTTTCACAATACTTTTTTTCTATATGCAGTTCCACTGGATTTTGTGTATGACTAACTCCCTAACCCCAAATGCTGATATTTTCATCCTTTGCTTTGTTATATACATTAGTAGAAATCAATTTCTATATTTTGAGTGTAGATGCACATTTCTTCTGAAAGCTGCTTTGACTTTTGAGGCTTAATATTGCCCTGCTCTTAGAGTTGCATCAGTTCTGATGGCTGCCTCTTCAAAAAGATAATATTCTATATTCTGTTGAACATAACAGAAAATCCCTGACAAGCTGATGGTTTTGAGGTGTTAAGATTAAGTTGATATGTCTCTACTTGAAATTTTGTTCACCTACAGTAACTTAAATATATTGCAGATTTTTTCAATGCATTTTTTCATTGTATATACCAAAAAGACCTAATTCCTCAAACTTACTTGTATTGTTAAAAAATACAGACTACTATAAATGGCTTTATTCATGTGAATTCAAAGGAACGAAGTTTTGCACTCCAGTGTTCTTGTTCTGCGTCCGAGTAGGTATCTGGTCACCAAAGAAAAAGGATTAAAAATGTTGAAAAGACCAGTTATAACTTTGGGACTTCAAAGTAACGGTGCCAAAAGACATACCGATGTAGTGCAGATTCTCATCTGCCCTGCTAGGCGATCAAGAGCAAAGAGCAGAGTTCAGTTCTGTACCATCATTCTAAAGGAGCTTTTGGCTGTCTGGATTAGTCACAATTTTACCCTGCACATATGGTAGTGCAAAATGGCCCCTTTAAAGGCTATGCATCAGTGATGCACTTCAGCTTTTAGCCAACAAAGCAAGTCAGAGTGGAACAGGTCTTCTTGCAAGAGTTTCTTGCTGCTAGGCTTCTCAGTAGTAGGAAGAAAGATAGAATAAAGTTTTCTGAGAAATAGGCATCTCATCATACATTGGATTGGTATCTCTATTAGATAGTAGCTCCTCCCTTGCCAAATCAGGGTGTGGGCATTTCTTTTAGTGGAATATTTAAATTCTTTTCTGGAGAGCACATGCTGCAGTTCTGGTAATACCATTTCCAAGGCTGTCTCCAGCTGTTGCTTCTAGCCATGCCAGTCAAGCAACAGCTGTCTTTGCTTGCTTTGTAGATCCCATACGCCAACTTTTCTGTGTGTAACTTGCTAGCATTTATCGCATAATGTCTTATGCTGCCGGTGACACTTGAAAAGGCTTTTCTGAAGTCGAGTTTTATATTAAAAATAAATACATAACTTGTTTTCTGTGTCAGAATATGAGAAAACTATTCTGTAGAGAGAAATAATTGCTGCAGTTGTATCTGCAAAGATAAATGCTACACGAAAACAGGTGATGCACCTAAGCACAAAATGACAGGGAATTCTTCCTTGGCCCTATCATGAGCATTAAATCTCGGATTTTAAAAACTCTCTATAACTCTAAAATTATTAGAATTATACTTCACATTTATATTCAGTATTTACAGAATATATTATCTGAGTCTTCATGTTCCAGCTGTATGTTGGAATTTATGCACTGGAAACCTGTATTACCTATTAGCAACTGGAATTTTTTGGGGTTTTAGATCATTAAAAAAGGGAGCTTGACTATACCGAGTTCTAAAAATTAATTCCAGAGAAAACCATATATGATGTGTAACATATGTGGAACAGAAAAAATGTTATCATGAAATTTGTCTTCGTCGTCAAACTAATGCTTTTCTATATTTCTATATATGATTTCAATATATGAATTTATAAGAATCACTGAATTTATTTTTTAAGATTTTTTTTTCTGTTGGTTCAGTATTGCAGCACTAGCAGCGTGCTAAAATGCTAGTGCTAAAATTAGGTCTATACAAAAAGTAGCAAGGATTTGTGGCACACTGCTCTCGGAAAGGCCAGGGAAACATTCAGAGGTTTTGACTTCTTTGAATCTGGAGGTTGATTACCTTGAGAATAAGAAGTGGGCCTCCCCTCTTAGGAGCAGGGAACGAGTGGGAAAATTGGAAAGGATATGGCTTCTTTCTGATGCTTGTTTCCAAACTGATAGGTATTTGTGCTTCAGTGGAATCGATTCTTTTTGAAGAACACAAATGTTTGCAAGAATTATGTCTCGGTTCTTCACAAGATGCTTCTTGAGCTGTCACTTTTTGCAAAAAACCCACATACATACATGTACAGTTTTAAGTGAAAGGTGTTAGGTAGATATGGAACACTTGAGACCAAATTTTGTCATATGTTTAAGGTGAAAGGCAGTTAATAGACTTCAGGACAGTTTCCCTGCCATGGTTGCAGTACATGATGTTGAGATTCTTCTTGCAGAAAGGTATACCAGTTCCAGGTCTTACCTGTTTTTGATAAGGTGGTTAATGGAGTTAGCCAAGGCTTGTTTCTGCAGATTAATTCATGTGGCTTAGGTCAGTACTTTGATGTATCATAAATTAAGGGAAGTGATCAGGCTAAATAGTATGCAGCTGTATGCACATTAATCTGGATATGTTACCTAGAATAATTGACAGTAATTTTCAGACTGTTACCGAACGCCACATGTAGAAATTTCAAAAAAAGAGGGGGAATTGCTTAAAATTCCATGTGATTAACAGGAAAAATCTTTATAGTACTGTCAGAAAATAAAAGAACTCTGGTATCTTACAAACCTGAAAGCAAAACTGATTTGATGATTAGGGACATTATTTACCAATGTAGAGCTAGAGATGATGCACAAAAAATAAAGCATGATGTAGGAATGTTTAGTTGTCTGCTTTGTTTTTAATGCAGTAATTTGTACCAAAGAGGATGAAATGAATGGGCACCAGTCTAAACTCTTCTCATTAGTTAAAAAGTGAAACAGGTTAACAATATTACTGATCTAACACTGTGCAAATTAAAAAGCAGTACGCTACATCTATTGTCTAGTACTGCATATTAGGAAAATCTGAAGATAAATTAGCCTGCTGAAGTGCCTTTCTCTTTCATCAGACTTATTTTGTCAGTGGGACACCTGACTATCTAAAAAGCACATTATGTTTTTTTTCTGTTAGCCAAAAAAACCCTCGATTCATACTTGTAATTATGTAGCTTTTATAATATTTTAAAAGGCAGATCTAGTGTTTTTTATGTTGTAATACTGACTCCTGCATGTTGATGATGATGGTAATTGTTGTAAATCCTGGGG